CTTAGTTTGGATAATATTTTGGTGGTGACGTGCTGGGATTGAATGAATTGCAGCACGTTGGGTACAGCAGGGTAGGGCTTGGGTCAGCTGATTCCTGTGGCTCATTTCTTGGACAGACCCGCTGCCTCAAACACCGCGAGTGAGTGGTGACGGCAAGGTCTATGATCCTAGAACCTGCATTTACGTTGGTTCCTCCTAGCAGCAGTGTGGCATTCCGAAAGTCCTCATGGCGGCCGGGCCCGGCCCAGCTCGTCTCAGCCTTGGCCAGAGACCCAGCTGGTAAACGCAGTTGGAAGTCCGCGTAAGACAATAACGCTGTCCTGAGGAGATATGCCGGTGTCCACATTCCAGGTCCTGCGTGCGCGTTGGGCAGCGCTGACAGCCGGCTCCGCCTCCGCCAGTGGTGCCGTCGTCGCTACCGGGGAGCTGGGTCCCATCCAAGCCGCATACCTCGCCTGTCTGGCGGAGTGCTTCTCCACGAAGCACCCCATTCCGGGCCTCGCCTCATTTCTACAGCAGCAGCAACCACAAGGACACCAGCAGCACGGTCATTCGAGCTCGAGCAATTTGGAACCAACAAGCGGTGATAAGAGCGCCAGCGCCAGCGGCGGTTGTGGAGGTGGAAATGCGACGCAGCAGCTGGTCCGTGATCTGCTGGCGGTTGGCCGTGACGCAGCAGCTCCGGCGGTGATCCGGATCGAGGCGCTGGCGGCGCTCAAGGGCTTGGCGGCTCATTACCATGCCGCGTTGCCGCCAGGTGAATGATTTTGGGGTCACTCGCTTAAGGGGGCTGGTGAACATATGTATCGTATCTAAGCCTTCACAGGACGGCGTTGCGTTGCCGACTTACAGACACAAGTACAGACCGACTTGCTGAATCCAGGTGCGCCCGGAGGCGGGCATAGGGAAGTACGGAAGTATACATATGTATAATGGCTGTGGCCGGGAAGCGTGTTAAGAATGACGTCGGACATGATCCAGCGGGCTGTGAACGCGAATTGGTGTTATGGGAGGTGTTTAGGAGATCGATTTATTACGGTGCGGGACCTGCTAGACTCGTAAGAGAACGTCTTCCGCCACCAGGTTGCCTGCCGCCAGCGCGCTTCACTGAGAGCCGCACCACGTCCCTTTTCCCCCCCGGTCGGCGGTCCCTTCATTCTCACTTGCCAAGCCCTCCTCCTCCTGCTTGAGCCTTTAGTTAGCTCGTAACGAAGAGCCTGGTTCCATGGTCCCCACTCCCCCCGGAACTTCCGCGACCTTTCGTGAAACAGACGTGTGGGAGAACCTGCGCGCCACCGCCTCCATGGGCCTCAGCTGTACACCGCCACAGCCGCTACCATCGGGTCAGATGCCAGCCGGGTTGCGTTCTGGCCCGCCCTCCCGGTCGTCCTCCTCGTCTTCCCTGGGAGTGGGAGCGGTCATGATGACCCATGGGTCACCTGCCCGACCTGGAGACCGCGCAGTCGGGTCGCGGCCGTCAGTGGTTCTGAAAAGCCATGCTTGCGCCGGTGGCAGTGGCGGCGGCGCCGCCGCCACAGGCACCTCCAGTGCCTGTTTAAGTCCTGAAGATAAAGCTGCTCAGCTATCGGTCAAGCTTTTGTCGGACTACTTGTCGGCCATTGCACGGCAGTACGGCATTAATCGTACCGATCAGGGTGGCGGCGCGGGGTCGGGTGACGGGCCTGACGGTGGCTTTCCCGGCGCGCCGCCGTCGCCGGGCTTTGTGCCGCTGGCGGCGGCCGTGGCGCGACAGCAGCACCAAAACCAGCAGCAGAAGGATCGTTTGTCGCCGATGAGTCTAGGAAGCGGTCATGGTGTCGGAGATGATGATGGTGCGGGGCGTGAGGCGGGGATGCGGCAGCTCGTGAGCATGTGGGTGGAGGCGGTGGAGGTGATGGTGCCCGCGGCCACATCGCACTCGTCCTACATGGTGGGTGGTTGAGTGAGAGGTTGTTAATAACCTCATGAAGAAAGTCAAAGAAGCAAGCGCCGGTGGGCGGGTGGGGTGTTGTATATGATAGGCTTGAAGCTACACAGCAGAGGCTTCAACCCTATTTCTCTCCGTTACCAACAGCGAGGACTGGCTTTTTTCCCCTATGCTTCACGCTTCGTTCTTTTTTCTGTCAGCCTGAAACCCTAAGTTCGTCTGCAGCTCAGTGCCGCGCCAGTGTCTCCGGAGTCCTTAGTCTTAAGCACAGATGTTGCTGCTGTCGCCATGCTTTGCCGTCATCATTGCCGCCGCCGCAATTGCTTCCCTGCCGTTCCAGGTCCGTTCTGCTGCCCTGGCCAGCTTGGGCGAAGTTCCTGAGCCAGTCTTCTCGGGCCTTGCGCCGCGTCTCCAGCAGCAACTCTTGACACTGCTCAGCGACGCGGCCGCGTCGGACACGGTGCCTGCCGTACGCGCCGCGGCGTGCAAAGCTCTGGGCTTCGCAGCCGCCTTTCCCGCTGTGCTCGCTGCACCGCAACTCAGCGACCACGTTATGCGCGCGTTGGTACCGGGCCTGCGTGACGCTGTGATGTCAGTGCGCATCGCGACGGGCTGGGCGGTCGCTAACCTTTGCGATGCCTACCGCCGGCGCCTGGAGGTGGCAGCTGGTGACGCAGGTGACGGAGGAGGTGACGGAGATGGCGGCGCTGAAGAGCAGGAACGCGCTGGGTCGCATGCGCACGCGTCTACCTCCACACAGAGCAGTGGCCCAGGCGGCAGCAGTAGTGTTGCCCCGTTACCAGCTGGGGGGATGAGGCTGGCGGCGGCGGAGCCTCCGCCGCCGTTGAAACCACACCACTATCGGCAGTTGGCGGCGCTGTGCAGCGCCGCCATAACAGCAATGCAGGATGCGGACAAAGTACGGGCTAATGGTGTCCGAGCTGTGGGAAATCTTTTGGCGCTGCTGACGCCAGACATGGGGCCGGGGCTGGCTGCAGCTGGCGGGGTTGGTGGTCCCATTCCAGCGGCGGCGATGAATGGCGATACCGCCGCCGCCGCCGGTGCCCCATCATCGACTTCCTGGAGAGCCGCCCGTCGGGAAGCGCCGTCAGCTGCTGGCGCCAGCGGCGGCAAAGCGGATAGCAGGCATCGGGTGACTGGACCCTCTCGTGAGTACGGCAAGCCCAGCGGGAACGTCGGCAGCCCTGGGGCTGTGTCAGACACGAGGTCAATGATCAGCAGCGGTGGCGGTAGTGGCAGTGGAGCGGAGGGATCCTTTCAGTTGGATGCGTGGCTGGACAGCGCGCTGACGTGTCTGCAGTCCACTTTGACGACTGGCGGCATGAAAGTGCAGTGGAATGCATGCTGCGCAGCTCATAGTCTGTTACGAAACCAGCGTCTGCTGGCGCATCCTCGGGTGGCAACGCGCGTTACAGCGCTGCTGCTGCTCCTGGTCATGCTGGTGCGTGAAAGCGCCAATTTCAAGATCCGTACTCACGCCGCCGCCGCATTGGCAGCACTGCCGAGGCGAGAGATGTACGGCGACTTATTGCCCGACGCGCTTCTAGTGGTGGCGGGCGCGCTAGAGAGCATCACCAGTGGCTCCGTTGCCGCGCCGTCGACGTCCGCGCCTGGCGCAGGCAAGTTGGCGGGTGCTGGCGCTGGCACCGAGACGGGACAGGGCGATGCTGACGGCGATGTCGATGGCGGCGAGGGGCGCTTCCCGAACTACCGCTACACGATGGGCCTTTCAGCGCAGCTGCGGGCAACGCTACTCCACCTGCTTGCGCTGGCCCGGCCTGCCGACGCGCGACGTGTACGCGAGGCCATAGCCCGCCGTGCCGATTTTCTGCACACATGCCTGCGCGAGCAGCTAGCGGAGGCGGTGCAGCCGCTTCGGGCTGCATTAGCGGAGGCGGCGAGAGGTGGTGGCTGGGGGTCCGAACCCGACCGTTGGTGCTCGGGCGGGATCCGAGGCGCCGCTGTGGCGCCGTTGGCGGCAGCGCCTAGTGGGGAAGGCAGCAAAGCGAGCGGCGCTCTGCAGGTGGAGGTTGACTTGCCGGCGGATCCGTTTGGACTGGGAGCGAGGCGTGGAGGTTCGTCGCCCGGCGGTGTTGCGGCCGTAGGAGGACTCACGGGCCTGCTAGAGGGTCTGAGCTTGGCAAGCAATGACGGCGCCGCAGACTCCCATATCGCGGGGACTTCCACAGCCAGAACTTTAGACGTGCGTTCGGGGACTGCAGATTCTTGCAATGGCGGGGTGATTGGCAGCGGCGGGAGGCCCTGCCTGACGGTCCTGGTGGGTGGCAGTGAGGAGGATGAGGTGCTGCAGCGTGCACGGGACAGAGTGGCGGCGTTGGCAGCACCACTTCGCGGCTTTGGCGACCTGTTGGCGCAGCTGGGGCCTTCTGTGGAGCCGGTGCTGCGGGACGTAGAACAGGCGCTGGTGCGGCTTCAGCCGCCGTAATCGTAGGGAGGCGCACATGTTTATGACGCCTAACGCAGCCGGGAGGGCTGAGGTCGTGTGTGTCATGCAGTTAAGTGATGTGGGGCTACTTTGTTTTGGCTGCTGCATTGTTCGTCGGAAGGACGGGTGCTGTGTTGCAGCCACAGCGTCGGGAATGACATCTGATTTAAGGGACCGAACCTTCGAAAAAATGTTTGGTCTGATAAGCGTGGGCAACATAAGAGCGCGCGGCTGTCAGGCCATGCCAGCAGCCTTCTAAAGATCACCCGTCTACGTTGAAGTGTTTGTCCATGTCCATGCTTTCCCTATATGAACCATGAGGTATATGGTGATCGTTGAATACCCCAGCTGCACTGCAGCAACAGCAGCTGCAGTATATGGAGCTTATACAGGGCACACAACGGCACACGTCATCCTGCGACACAAGCCATGAAGACTTAATCCGAGGCCTGCAGCGCATCTCGGCGCAGTATCAGAAAGGAATTATCAGTCACTACTCGATATTTTCTACACTCCTACGCATCTCATCTACTCAAGCACTTTGTACACGAAAGCAACCATCTTTGTACAGGTCGAAGACATTCCCCCCTTGTGCCAGGATTCCTCTCACCGACCCGCAAATAGGCGCCGATCAGCGGCACCGGCGGCCGACTCATCACCCCCCCCTTCCGCGGCCACCTCCCCCACTGCTGCGTCGGCTGCCTCCGTTTCTGATGCTGATGTCCCGGTCACGCCTTCCCCAGCGGCAGCGGATTGCTGACCTCCTTGGACTGATGACGCGGACATCCCCCGTGGCACAAACACGCCGCCCATCCTTTTTAATTTTCTACGGAAGGACCTCGCCCGACTGAAGGCCGCCTCCAGCGGAATACCCTCAGCGATGTATTTCCGGATCACCTCCACAAGCGCCCGGTTGTGCTCTCGATACAATGACGTGGCGCGGCCGCTATTGCCGGCACGTGCCGTACGGCCAATGCGATGCAAAAAGTCGATGGTGTTGGGCGCAAAGTCCGCCTGTGCAAGCACCAGTGCATCCACATCAGGATCAGGATCGGTACCGTTCAGCCACATCAGCAAGACATGAGCCGCGGGTACACCGACGAGGGAAGCCACCTTCCCCGTTGCCTTGTCATCACTTGGCTTGACAAGACCCTTTGGCAAGACAAAGGACGCCTAACAGCTCCTCCTGAGCATGACCATGAACTGAACCGACCACACGCTCCCCCAAGGACGCACCTGAACCACATGTGTGATGCCCTGCACGTCCAGCCCTCGTGCCGCTGCATCCGTGCACACCATAACCGTGCCGTCCTGCTGCCGCAGCGCCTGCAACGCCGCCGACTGCTCTGGCTTGGGTCGGCTCTTATGGTACACCACGTGAGGCACTTGGCCGCCGTGCAGCAGCTCGGAGACCGCGTCCGCTGAAGCGCCGTCCGCAGCGAAGATGAGGGTCTTGCCGCGGCGGGCCTGGTAGTCGGGGTCGCTGCGGACCACGTCCAACAGCGTGACGCCAAAGGACTCCTCGGAAACCTGAGTGGCCAACAAGAGCAAAGACATGGAACACAATTAAACAAGCAGCACACACGGCAGGGTTACATCCTTACAAGGAACCCCACAACGGAGCGGGCGGGAGCAGAAGGGGGTTGGATAGATATGGGGACGCGGATAGGAGGATACGCGCGGTGCGGCGGTGCAACGATAATGGAACCAATCAAGCGACCAAACAACGCAGTCTGGTGCGGCGCAACATGGCCAGGAAAAGGTAAGGCCGTAGGAGGAAGAGGCGCAGGAAGGGCACGAACGTCCCCATGTATTGTGCTGCGAAGAGCCGTTCCGTTAATACGCTTGCAGCAGCTTTTTTACGTCGGACCGGCGTTCATACACCCTCCCTCCCTATTCTGGCGAAAAAATCTCACCGCCGCAATAATACTTAATATCATCCCATTTTTTCCGATTTCCGCTACACGTACCTCCCGCCAGGCATGCGCCACCTGCGGCTTGCTGACGTGGAGCAGCTCCGTAGACACCCACACGGCGTCTGAATACATCTTCTGGATTTGCGACCCCACGTCCGAGTAGGTGATGGTGGGCATCGTAGCGGCTGATAAAATGTACTGCCGGCGCCAGTACGGGCCGTACTTGGCCTCTGGGTTGAGCGCGCGCTTGGGCCGGTAACCTTCCGCCAGCATCGCGGGAACGCCGCCTGCACATGTTTATATGTGGAGGGCAGAGGACTGAAATTACCGTCACATGGTTATCACATGGTTAACAAATATATCAACGCCTTAAGAAACTCCTGAGTGTTCTCCGCCATCGAGTGCTTCTGGAAAGGATGACAGGAGGTTTTCAAAAGGGCGTTGAAAATCTTTAAAAGTCTCCTAACCTCCCTTCTCATGATGCACCGATCGCCGACCCAGGCGGGTGGCAAGGCCGGTGGTCCCCTGGCGGAGGTGTGTGTGGGGGGAATGCGCTGAGGCGGAGGCAAAAGGGTTCACGGAGCTCACCTTGCCAGCCGGCCACCTTAATCGCCCGAGGCAGCCGGTCAAAGTCGGACTTATCCGCCAGACCCAGCTCCTCAAGGATTTTGGCTTCCACGCGGCGCCGGTCCGCGACTTTGAAGAGCTGGTGACCCATGGGTCAGTATCATATGGAGTTCCGAATAGGGTCGCGATGGGGTTAGGTGAGTAATCTCGAATTCGCGAGGAAACGCAAGGAGAAAGCATAGGGAGGTTTCAGAGCGAGAATTGTCACAGATTCTCGGCCAAGACCCTCAAGTACGCGCCAAGAACAAAGAATTAGGGTTACGTGGAAAATGCGTCGGGTCCTGAGACTCGTGTTCTTGTTCTTGTTGTTGTTGTTGTTGGCCGTGGCAGTCGTGGCGAGGTGGACTACGGAAGCGGACGGAAGCTGCTTACAGGGGCCTACGCCAAGAGAACCCCCGGCATCCCGAGCCCAGCCCGGAATCGCACCCCCACCCGCCTCGCTTCCGAAGCAGCTCTACTCCATCATGCAGTGTGGCAAAAGGTCTTTACTTTTGTCATATTAAAGATCCAATTTCAATTTTTTTATGCTCGGCACCGGGGATCCATCAAAAGCTGGTGCTTAGGAATTGCTGGTGCTCAGAAAATCACACGAGAAATCATGATGGGCAGAACTACATGAGGAAAATTTCCGCAACAACGACTAGAGAGGACGCCAACCACGTGTCTACATTATGGCACAGCTCCATGCAGCAACGTTTCTGAGTAATCGACATCCCACTGGACAGCCCCGGGTGACGACGAGTTCCCTAAGACATAGGCCCCCTCATCCAAGCAAGGAGCGGCATACATTACACACATGCACACGTGATTCGCTGCACTTTCCCTCACGAAAAAAGTGCATCACAAAAGACTAACACGTCGCTGTTGACTACGGAGCTCGCTTCGGTCAAGTTATTCTTGTGTACCACCATCGGCATTTCCCTCATCGCGGTTGCCGCCCACTTACCGTGAGAATCCGCTCCGTGGCCTTTATGTACGCATTGCCCAGCAGCAGATCCGCCTCGTCCACTACGACGTGCCGTACACGGGCCTGCACGGGCAAAGACACACAGAACGAACGTGATTATTACAGTGTACCCCGACGGGATCGACTCATGAGTCGGGGGAGCGACCCGTGAGTTGGTCAGGGCTGCAACTCAAAAGTTGCAAATGCCTAAGTTTAGCTTTACTTGTGCTTTTCAATTGTTTTTCTCACAATAAGCATTATTTTTAACTTCCTGGCAGCTCGCACTCCATTCCGTAATCCCTAATATCTTCCTCCTCCTCCTCCGCCTCCTCTTTCAGCTTCTAGCCAGAGCTTTTCTCACATCAGAGAATGTCGAGGGCGTCACGTCACCGAGCACGCACACACAATTACAGGATTTAGTTGGTGTGCTTTCCGCTTTTTTCTCTGCCTTCGCCGCAATAATCCTTGCCAATATTTTTCCTCCGTCTCGTCCCAAAGGCCCAGTTCAAGGCTTACATACAGTCACAAAATCGGTCAGCGTGAGTGCTACCCGGCCATAAAAAGGGAAAACGCTTCGGAAACCAGCACCACTGTCCCTGCGACTTAGTAACAATGTTTTAGCATGGCCTTTTCCTCCCTTTCTTCCCTTCAACCCGCACTTAACTTCCAAGCACTGTCCCCGGGGGACAAGAGTCCCTTACCTAATCGCCGCCTCCGGGCAGCCACAGTATCACCCCAGCTGTTTCCCTGTGACCGGCTACCGGTCTCTCAATGTTCCCCGTCTCCGTCCCCGCATTCCCGCTTAGTCCCGTCAAAGCCTGTAGGACATGGGGCCCCCCTCCCGTACCTGCATGCCTTCTTCGCTCCAAAGCCAGCCGTATGCGCCGCCCGCGTCGTTGATAATTGTGAGTAGCCCCGCCGGCGTGGCCACGATAACGTCGGGCGCATCAAACGGCGGCGGGTTGCTGCTGTTGATGTGTGCCGCCGTTAGCAGCTGCTCGCCGTCAGGCCCTTGGAGTCCATTAACGGTGGCCACGACTTGTTGGCACAGAGCGGCGTTGGGGCAGAGGACCAGGGCATGATACCGCCGCGGCGTCGCTGAGGACCTGGCCGGGGCGAGCAGCGGGGCATGACCTAAATCAACTTCGGTCCGACCATCAGGTCGGCTTAAAAGCCTTTAAGGTACGCTACAAAATGTCGCTGCATACACCGATTTTAAATGGAGCGATACTGATACACCTCATAAGGACCTGGCTGGTGCACGTTATGCCCCTGGGCTCTTTAACAGCCAAAAAACAACACATCGTCCTCTAGAGAAGCGACTTTGTGCAAGGATCACGCAGCGACATGCTCACCTGTCACGTGGCGCAGGGTCAGTGGGTGCTGTGTCTGGAAGGTTCTGCTGCGGCTGTGGCTCCTGTAGCTGTTGCTGCTGGTGTCGCTCCAGCGCAGCTCTCTGCTTGAGCATTAGGTGAGCGATAGGAATTACGTAGGAAAGCGTTTTGCCGCTCCCTGTCTCTGCGGTTATGACCACATTCCTTCCACGCAAGATGTGCGGAGCCGTCAGCTCCTGTGCGGTCAAACGGAAGGACTGATTTATCCGATGGGTAGTAAAGCGTGCCAATGGAGCATGGTTTCGTGAAAGCGAAGGAAAGCTTGTGAGGGATGCCATAATCGGCACATGCCATGAGGCCCGGTATGCATGTGTCGGTGGCGTAAGTCGTGGTTAACACCCCAGGTTTCGGAAACCGTACAACGACCTCACAGGAGCCGGACCTGGATTTTCGAGGGCCTGCTGAAGCCGGATGCCGCCAACGCTTCCTGTAGCACTGGTGACACCTCCAGTTCGGCGAAGCTTTGCTGCGTGTCCGAGTAGAATGTGGTATCCCCAGAAGATGACGTCTCCGCTGCTACTGCCACCGCTTCCAAGCGTGGAAGTTTATTGATGCGCTTCTTTGCTGCTGCTGCAAACCCTCGCGTGGGAACAAGCCCTAGCTGCGCCGCCAGTGGGCAAGTCGACATGGTATGGTTTAACGGAGCAAGCGGCCTCCATAATGTTGCTGAGCATGGGGTAGCATGTGATGTTGCAAAGGCCTGCACCTTATGGGTTGCGTGAGGCGCCCCTAACGAAATATGCATGGCAATTGTAAACTTTCCAAGATTGCCAAATACGCGGCTGTAATAGCGCAACATAAGTAGTGCAGATCTGCTTTTTCTTTCGGAAGGAATTTTTTCGAGATTCGTGTAGCGACTTTTCGGTTCGGCAAGGTACGGTCCTGTGGTTTGAACGTTGACACATGACAGCCCGCTTCCAGCAACACATCGGCGTCCTGCTGTCGACTCGCATTGTAACGTAATTCTTAATACCATATTTAGATAACGCCGAGCATCATTATTGCATTCCAGCGGTTGGCATAACTTTGACGCCGCTCAGCGACCATGCCTCAACGCCCAATGGCTACCTGCTTCAAACAATGCTTCTGAAAGATGTCAAATGTAAGCAAACTACTTTTCGTTGTGCCGGACGTGACTCTTTGGCCTGCCCGTCAACCGCTTGGACTTCCCTGTTGCCTCACCAGACGCAGCAAGTCAAGCAGCAAGTACCTATCAAGCGGCAGGGTACAATATCAACTTGCGAGCGGACTGGAAAGGCATTGCTTGGGTGCGTCGATGCTCACCTGCCTGGATTCGTTATGAGCTGTCGCGACCGTGACAACCCTGGTGCACACCACAGGAGCTATGCCGTCAGGTACAGCAGAACCAACCAGCCTGCTGGCATTGCCAAGGGCCTTACCGCTGCTGCTGAGCAGGCCGACCTGACTGCAGACCCGGACGCAGTAACCGGGGCCGCAAGCAGCACCGATGGTGCCACAGCAAGCGGCGTATCCCTGTCTAACCGAACCGCTCCTGTGCCAGGCAAGCTGACCATCTCAACTTCAGCAGTTTTGACAGCAGCCACGCAGACAGACCAGGAGAATGTCGTGCCGGGCTCACCCCCCACGCAACAGCTGTCCGGTGCTGTTCCCCCAAAGCTGGGAGAAACTCTTGATTTGCTAGCTGTGTACCGGCCGCCTAGGCTCATCCTGCCCGGTCCTCCGCCGGCGCCTCCTCCGGCCCCACCGCTTGTCCTGGTCAAGTACAATGGCACCATGTCAGGCACAACGGCAATCAGGGAACTGGTTCAAGCGAGTGGGAATGGGATCATGGACGCGCTCAGCCCGGGTTTGGGAGCTGCCACGAAAGGCCGCGGTCCGGTTAAACCGGTAACCACCTGGCGCACGAGGTGAGTGTCACTATCGCAGCGGTGCGTGCGCTCCTCGGGGATCAGCTTTAGCCATTCGCACACGACAGAGCTCTGCTGTGTTCTGGGTGGTCGACTAAAGCCGCCGCCCACACGGCAAGGGAAGTGTCTGCAAGGACAACCCCACAGCTACAGCTGCGCCTCCTAACCGCAGGAGCTACAATCGGAATATGGAGAGTGAGGTTATCTTGAAGCTGAAGCTCAAATCCTATGTCATCGTCGCAGTTCAGGTACAGTCAAAATGGCCTTTGTGCGCCATTCCTTTGTTTTGCTAAACGTCTTAAGAGATGAGCATAACGAAGGGGCCACATTGGAAGGATGTGCGGTAGTCCCTGGCTACTAGCATCCACTGGCATTCACTGATTGCTGCACCCAATCCTCATTAAACCAATGCTTGCTGCGTAGGTCGTCTTCACGGACCGTTCAACGCTACCCAACCTCATCCGCTTCGCGCATTCCGGCGGCCACTCCGGACCGTTTAGGCAGCTAGGCGGTGATGTGACCCTCGCGGCGGACGGGGAGCCCCGCCTAAAGCAAACATACCTGCTGGGGGCCTGCCACGCTCCGGTTCAGCAGTACCTGCGAATCACGCTGGTCGGGCATTTGAACCTGCCGGCCGCAGGTAAGTGTTGTTGGGCTTTGAGGTGAGAGACGGTCCTTGATGCAGTAAATGGCCATGCAGGTTCCAGTGGACAGTGTCACCTGCCCTTCCGCACCCTCAGTGCCAACCTACTAGGGCAGTGTAAACCCCTAGGATCGGCCTATCTAATAGCTGCGGGCATGCATTTTGCTTAAGATCTGCTGGGTCCCGCGCACAGCCGGTGGGTTCGGTTCCTTTTCAAACTCTTAGGCTTCCTCCTGGAAATGTCAGTAAAGTGGCCTTGTGGAAGAAATGCATGTAACATTCCTCCAGCCGCTTGGGCCTACACTTTTGGAAACGTGCCGAGAAAGCGAATGCTAACTCGTTTACTAAGGGGACCCAAGCAAGAACGCAAAATACTGAGAACTATCCCCCCCCTTCCTACTACATGGGCGCCGCCCTCCTTGCAGGAGTGCACGACGTGCGCACGCTCGATGTCCTGGTGCCCAGCCCGGCCTTACAGCTGGCCTCAGCCCCGCCGGGCTCTGATGCGCCGGGCCCAATCTCCCCGCCCGCGCCGAGCATGCGCCACGCTGCCATCCTACAGGGCGCGCCCTCACTGGTATGTCGTGTGACCTCGCCCCTGCCCTCCCCGCTCCAGCCCATCCTCAACGAACGATATACCAGCCCGGCCGTCGCCAAGGAGCTCCCCGCGCGGCCGCGTTACGAGCAGCACCAGTCGACGTCGTTTACCGCGGACGCCAGTCGTACGGATTCCCGGGAGAAGGGGCGGAAGCTGCAGGCGCGCGCAGGTGACACAGCCAGCTCCCGCGCAGCGGCTGCGGGGCCGCATTTGGAACCTCAGCAGCAGCAACAGCTGCAGCAGCAGCTCTACCAGCCGTTGCTAAAGGGGCAGAGCTACCCTGCACCGTCCGGAGGGCCGGTCCGGACCCGCGCGCATCCGGATACGTTTTCGCGATCCTTGATGGGCTTGGGCGGTCCTGCGGCGGCACGACAGGCTGCTGGTGACGGCGACGATAAGAAAACAGCGAGCGTCGTCGGTGCCGTAGCCGAGGGCGTGGACCGTGGTGCGGGCGCCGCCAGCGGCACTGGCGTCGGGGCTGCGCCCGTCCCGCGGCTAGGGCTAGGCCTGGGTCGCCTGCGGTTCGGCTGTTCCATGCGCAAGTTCATGATGCTTCACACGCCCATTCCAGAGGTGTCCGAAAGCAACTTGTCGACCCCACTGGAGGAGGCCGACGTGGTCAACGATCCTGTGGCTGGGAAGCCCCGGCTACTCTGTCTTCCTGATACCGGGGGGTCTACGCATAGCTGCCAGCGCTACGGCCGGAAGGTGCATGATGCGATCAGCCCGCTACGGCCCATGCCCAACCTGGTCGGAGTCGCCGACGGTGCATGGCAAGGGCACGCGCCAGCAGCGCCACCGCCAGGAGAAGCCATGTGCGGCAGCTTGCAGGTCGAGTATGGCACGGATGATGATGTGGTCGTGAGGGGCAGCAGCAGCGGTCATGGTGGCAGCGACGCTGGGGAGGATATCGGGTGCCCTTCTGACGAGGACGAGGTGCAGCAGCAGCGTGGCGGTGGTGGGGGGCCGGCAGGACAGGCTCCGAGTGCGCTGTCAGCAGGGCAGACGGCGCCGGACGGCAGCAGCAACAACCCACATGGGGCGTCGGGTGCTGAGGCCGGCATCGGCGTCCCGCCGGGTCCAGCCGCAGACGAGCTGAGCGTCGTACGCAAATACGCCATCTCTGCACTCGATAAGATGTTGGGCCACACGCCAAACTCGCAACGCATCCGGTCCCGGCTGCCGTCAATGTCGTTGCCAGAGGCCATGCAGGAGTACCTGCAGCGCACGTCCACGGGTTCGCTGCTAGGCAGTCACGGGGGAACCACGCGCGGTTCCACATGCGGCGGGGCCCCCGTGGAGCATTCCATGGCCCGCATTAACGAGGAGGTAACACCGCGGACAGGAATCAGCGAGGGCGGTGGCTACGGGTTCGGTAGTGGCGCAGCCACCTCGTGCTGCTCCTGCTCCGCAGGGCCCGGCGCGCAGCGGGCTCTGACAACGTCGATGGCGTCGCTCAGCCTCTCGGCTCGTGGGGATGCGGCCGATAGGAGCGGCTATGCCATCCGACGGCAAAGCGAGCCGCCTGCAGGAAGTGGGGTGGCGGGGCTCGAGGGCGCTGCATCTTCCTTGCATGCGCCTCCGGTGCGGGCTCCGCCGCCACCACCAGGACCTCCGCCGCCGCCGTTGGCTTCGTCGTACACTGCTCCAGGAGCTGCACCACCGCCGCCGCCACCCCCCGGGCCCCCACCACCGCCAATACTGGGTGGTGCGGCCAGGCTTTCGGTTGCACCGCCGCCTCCAGGGCCGCCGCCGCCGCCTCCCGTTTCCAGGGTCGCATCAGCCCCAGTTCCGTCAAACTGCGGTCCGCATCCCGGGCTGGTGGCCATCGCAGCCGGGAGGTCTTCGTCAATGCCGCCGCCCCCCCCGCCAGGACCGCCCCCGCCGCCAGCCGTCAGCATGCACATGGCCAAGCCTGGGGCCGGACCCCCCCCGCCGCCAGGGCCGCCGCCACCAGCTGTAGGTGTTCATGCGGCTAGGACCAGCACGCCAACGCTGCCACCTGCGACATCGGGGCGGTTGCAGACAAGCGCTCCCCAGCCGCCAACACTTAAAGGGGCCACCAACATGCCGCAACTAGCAGCGCCAGAACAAGCGCCGCCGGTGTCCGGGCCCGTGGCCGGGCCAAGCGCTTCCGACCAAGCCCAGCCCTTGCCAAGCAAGCCCACAAGCAAGCTCCATTGGACCAAAGTACCCACGTATGCGGCCAAGAACAGCGTCTGGTCTGAGATGACGCCACTAAAGGTAAGAGCAGCGCCTATCATGTCATCCAATGCTGCACCCAGATATGTCGCATGTTCATCCCCTGTCGCATCCACACATAGCCCGTGCATGGATTTGCATGGATTCTAGTACATTGTACCGACTGTAGCCGTCAGGGCCTGTTGCGTGGGCCCCTCAACCTCTCATCGAGGAAGCTGATGTCGCTGAGGACTAAGCCAGCCCGAACTCCAAGCGCAGTGGAGACTGATGGGACTGACGGTGATGGCTCTCTGTCCCTACAAGCTAAGCCCGCCAGTAGGGGATGTAGTCCAAGACTATCCAGTCGGTGAAAAACTTCAGGGCTTCCGTAATTCTGCTGCATTGGTCAAGATGCGGGACATGCCGACCATTGCGGCCCCAATAGCATCTGCCATCTGCCAGCCACGAGTAAATGGTTGCCCAGGCAGCCGCTGCCCTCGTCTTTGTCCTTGCTTCTTGATCTTTCCTTCCCGCGTCTTACAGTTTCCGTGTCAAGGTGTCGACTTGTAGTTTCCATGCGTTGTGTGCTTTGGATAGCTGAGTTCATGAACGTCGTTACAGCGGGATCCCAAGGAAAGCATTACCAGCGCATAGCATATCTTTACACTGTGCAAGCCAGTGCCCAAAGAAGGATAGGTCCTTTGGCTTCTGTTGGCGTCGTCAACCTTCACAGTGTCCTTTTCCCTGTAACGATGGGCACACATGGTCCCAGGTCGAGGTGGATTTCGCAACCCTGGAGAACGATTTTGCTGTGGCTCAACCCGCCAAGGTTTGGACGCCGGCCGGGACAACTGTCAAGCGCCAACTGCCAACGGTATCCATAACGGACCCGAAGAAGGCCCAGAACATTGCCATCCGCCTGTCCAAGTTTCGCCCGATGACACCCGCCCAGGCAAGCCGCTAAGACCTTAGAGGCACGAGCGCCACAACAGCTCGCTGTTTTTTGTAGGGCTTCCCCTGGTGTCTCGTTGTGTAACCCGCAACCTACTGATAATCTCTCACCCTTCCCCAAACTCGACCCTGCCCTGCCTCGCCGACTTCAGATTGTGCAAAAGCTGGTCCAGATCACGACCACCGGTGAGCAGCTGATGGACGAGGAGCAGCTGGAGGCCATTGTGAAAATTCTCCCAACGGAGGTGCGCCGCTCCCTTGCTTGGGGTTGCCTCTTTCCAGCCCCAGGAAGGGAGACATGCAGCTCCTGAGGAGGGCACTCCGGGATCAGCAGGGTGAAAATGGAGGTGGTGCAGTGTTCGATTTTCCGATTTTTAAGCGCTTCCCCAGCGCGGCAGTCTCGCCACTTGTTTCCGTGCGTTAGAATTTGTTGGGTGTTGGTTCGTGTATGTTGGACGCCTAAAGCTGCTCGCCGCTTGGCTGGCTGGCTGTGGTAAGCCGCAACGCACGGGGGATGTCCTTCCGCCGCCACGCGACCGTGTAGGAGGAGCGCAGGCGGCTGGCAGAGTACAAGGGCGACCGCGCCTGTCTCAATGAAGCCGACAACTTTCTGATTGAGGTAAGCCGCCATATCATGGAAAAAAGTATGCAGCTATAAGACCTCCCCGCTCGTCCCCCAAATAATGTCAATGGACCGTCTGTGGGTCCTGACCAGATGGTCACCCCGCACTTATGTGGAGTTTTGTAACAGCTGCAGCGGCCGGTGCAGAGGAGCAGTAGAAGTTGGCATGAGCATCTGCTGCTGCCCTCGTTGACCCGTTTTTTTCCCCTTCGTGCGCGTTTCCTGGTTGCCATTTTCCGCCAACCCGCAGCTCTTGCCCTTGGCTACGGACCTGGCACCGAAAATGCGTCTCTGCATCGCGATGACCTCTCTTCCGCGCCGCCTCGAGGTGCTGTCTAAGGTACGCGCATGCGCTTTTAATTCGGTCTTTTTTAGCCAGGTCTTTATCACGTCGTTCTGTCGTTTCCTGTCGTAAGCCGAGGCGACGAGAGAAGACCAGTCCAGCCAAATTTCCCCTAACTTCTATAATCACGCCTGTCTAGTCGTGACTCCTTTAACCCCTCTCTTTGCTGGTGCGTATTGTGTGTCCATTTGGGTTACATCCAAGTCAGCCGTTCTCCCTTTTCCATCCCTTGTATATTTTTCTCTGCCACAGGATCTCGCGCTAGTGTCGAGTGCCTGTGCCGAGGTGCGGAACAGCAGTTTGATGAAGCACTTGCTGAAGGTGGCGCTGGAGATTGGCAACTTCCTCAACGCGTCATCGCCCCAGGGCGCCGCCGTTGGCTTTCACCTGGAGACGTTGCTGCGGTTGCGCGACGTCAAGTCTACCAACAACCGGGGCCAGACGCTGCTGCACTTCGTGGCCAGGTAAGAGGCACGCTTAGCGCCAAGTGCCATTACGGATGACAGTCGGCGCGCGAAGTCATTGCAGATTCTGTCACGCTAAATTGGTAAATAGGTTTGCTTCAATAAACATCGATAATATGTGTCACCACCTAGGTAAGCCTTCCATCCGATGAGGCGGGCAAAGTGCATGGAAGAAGGCCAAAATGTGGTGTCGTACGATTTACAGGCAACAGCTGCGGCAGTACCCGGATGAGTCCTTGTTGGAGCAGCTGCGCTCGTGCCACCCGGCCAGCAAGCTCAACACGGCGACTGTGCTGGAGGAGTTGCGGGGAATGCGCAACAAGCTCCAGGAGCTTTCGAAAAATCTGTACACGCCAACCGGCGACCCGAACGCGACTGCGACGCCGTTCCAGGTGTGCCCACTTCTAATTATAATGAAAAGCACAGATATACAATTTTACCTGGGCATTCTGTTTTGAGTCATTATATTGTGCAGACGTAAAACGTTTTCTAACGGTTCATGACATATCTAAAGCTTCAGTTGCAATGACAGCATTTCGTGGATCCTTGCAGGCGGCCGCGCGTGGTTTTTTGGAAGATACCATACAGAAGATTGATGTGGTGGAGGTTGCTGCCAATGAAGCGGACAGCGCATTCTTGCAGATCCGCGCCTACCTGAACGGTAACAACGATAAAACCGATATGCCCCGTTTCTTCTACGTTCTGAGCTCTTTTGCGCTGGACTTGTCAAGAGCACACGCCGAAAACATCGAGTTCGATGCGCGGGTAAGAGGGCCGTATCCACGTGCGCGCAGGATCTCCTCCAGCTGTCCATCCATTTTATGAGTCCATTTCAGAACCTCCCAGCAGCAAAGCCGCGATGCTTTCGCGAACTCATCGTAAGCACCCTCCTCATCCTCCACTGTGCGCAACAGGTAGCCAGAGCAAAGCTTGCGGCGGAGAAGACGCCGTTGCGTGCTGGTTTTGGAGCCACCCGCAGCGCCAGTTGGCAGGCACCAGCGAGCGACCCGGGGCCAAAGGCGCGAATACTAAACGCGGTTCGAGCCTTCAGCCGCCTGCGCCCTTCGGAAAGAAAGGCACTCCTGACGGAGAAGGGCGCGCGCGATCGCATCCGGGAGCACAACATTACGGTCCGGCAGAGCATCTCCCATCCCATGTCAGGTCAGCACGCCGCGACCGCGCAGATGCACAATTTCCCCTTCCCCTTCCCTTGTAAACATGCTCCTGAACATAAATAGCAAGCCTCAGTGGTCATGATATATTATATTATACATGGATATATCTAGCTGCGTACCTTTTTCCTAGGGTAACTCATACGAGCCCTCCTGGAGCAGCGAGGCCGGCAGGGTACGGTATTCCTAGGCCATGCAGGTAGAGTATGATTTGTCCTCTCCTCGGCCGATGGAGATGCAACGACTTATGCAGTAACACTCTGCATCCGCACCGACTTCCTTTCCTTCGCTGTTAGACCTACTAGCCTTGCTCTCCGTCCTCCGTCCTTCGGGACCCCTGCAGTGAGCGCCAACACAACGCCAGTGGGAAAGATGCTGGCGGCGCAGGGCGGCTCTCGTACTCCGCCAGGCAGCAGCGGCGCCGCCGCCGGGTCAACTGCGGCCGCCAGCCCCGTCGCGCCGTCGCCTGGGGAGCAGACGTTGGCGCAGGGCCTGCAGCAATTCAGCCGGGAGGCTCTTCTCCGCCTCAGCATGCCCTCCGACCTCCTCAGAGCGGCCGTCGCCCAGACGCGCTTCTCCGGCTCTGGCACCGGGCCCTCCTGCACGACGCGGAAGGGCCGGGTCGTGGGGCGGAGTCCTTCATCCGGCAGCGGGCCGCACTGTCCAGCTGCCATCGAACGCATTCCCGAGGATGGCCTGCCGCCCATGGTGTAAGCGCACCACGCGTGTGAACTAAAACTTCATAGGAATGGCGCGCGCTGGGTTAACTCACTCAATCAGAATGTATAATACTGATAGCAAGCATTTATAAGCAGGATTCATTCGTCCGTGTTTGATAACGGAAACGTGTACTTTGGTGGGGATATTGAGGAATTTCTCCGGGTTGCGCGCACGGGCAAGCCATACTCGCAAATCCAACGCGATGCTTCCCATACCTTTCTGCTAGTTGGCACACACACTGGCTCATCGTATACATTATATGCTTGGGATGAAGCTATCTTGGGCTAACCTAATCCTCATCTAACGAACACAACACATTTGTGTTACGCATGTGCGGTGTGCAGGGATGCAGTGGGGACGTCCCCGCTGTTGCAGCGTCACCTTCCCTACCCGCACCACCGCCCCAAGATGGCCCCACCTCCCAAGCTGGACTTGTCCAAGCTTCCCGCCACCACCGTCCAGGACCCTTGCAGCAGCCGCAGAGTGGGCGGCGTGCGCCTTGCGGGAGGGCCGCGCCCGGCAGCGCGCATCAAGACGATCCTCACGCCGCGGCTGCGGCCAACACGTACTCCGCGGCTCCCCAACGGCTCAGCAGGTAGCGCCGGGGGCACGTCCCCGGCGAAAGAGGAACCTGGCCAAGCCTTGGAAGACGCCTCTGGCGACAACGCCTGTGGTAGTGGTGGTGGTGGTGGTGGTGGTGGAGGTGGCGGCGGCGGCGGTGGGGCCAACGTGGCTGACGGCTGCATGTCACGCTGCTTTATGTCGCCCGGAGTGGACCAGGAGCTGAGTGCTCGAGAAGAGCAAAGGTAAGCGAGGAAAGTCGTCAAGGTGATGCACGAGTGGCCGGCCCCTAAATGTATGTATTGCGTTGGAGGTGATGTGCAGGTGCGCCGATGAACCTTTCCTTTCGAGGTCCCGCTGCAATAATTCCATGTCAGGGTTGCATGTACCGTAAAACGCTTGCACGGCGCTCTGCTTTTCGGGAGCGCCGAAGCAAAGAAGTTTAGTGTAGCGGCTTTCGAAGCCGAGTTAAAGGTTGCCGGTCGCCTTATTCTCTCCCCTTCTCTTCTGTGCTACATAAACAAACTGTTGCGTGTTGTTGTTACAACAAGGGCTTTTCCACAAGAGCTACTTCCGAGGTCGCATTACCGCGTGTTTGCTCCCGGGCCTCGGCGCCCGCTCACACGTCACATTGGCCAGCGCTTGCAAGGTTTTTGAACAAGGAACATGGCTGACGCAAGCCATTTCACAGTGCCTGCGGGAAGCGTTTGTTTCATGTCCTTGCGTATAACTGAGCCGCCAGGAGAAAAGTGTGTGCTGCTAACATATACACCTCACTCGTGACAGAGCACTGGCGAACCGATGCATGGCCTTGAGGATGGAGGAGTACACGTCTCCCTCGCCGCGGCATCTCGCCCGTCGGCTGGAGAGGCTGCTGGCCGTCACGGAGCTAACTGCGGAGACGCGCGCACCCGCGATCGCAGCCCCAATACCCGACCCGGCCATCCCAACCACCACACCCGCTGACCCCGCAGTCACGACTGCTACTACTGCTGTCGCAAGCTCAGCCATACAGGTCATCACACAGCCGGATTGCCCAGCTGGCACCGTGACGGTGGCGGGCTCGGTTGCGGAAATGCGGGACAGACGGTTTGATGCCGAAGACGTGGTGGCGTCGGGCATGGAAAGAGCCGCTGGAAAAGGGCCGACAGGGGGAACCGTCCTGAGTGACTCGCCGCCGGCCCCGCATACAAGCAACTTCAGTGTAGAGGCTGCGGTCCACCCTGCGGCGCCAGCGGCGGCGGCGGCAGCAGGAGCTGCGGTGCGGCCTGGCGGCTACGCCAGCTTGCAACTTGCACGGATGTCCATGGCGCAGAAGCAGCTAGCGGCTGACGCTGCTGCGGCGGTGCAGCGGCGGCGCTCCTCCGCCGGTGGAGCCGGTGCTGCAGCGCCGCAAGCGCCGCTGCGGTCACCTACAGCTGCAGCTGCAGCCGCCGCGTCTCTGGTCGGCGCCCACGCGGCTGATAAGAAGAAGCAGCCGCACACGGATGGCGCCGCTGCCGACGCCGCGTCGGCATCAGCACCATCCACCTCAAGCAGCATTCAGTCTTCTGGCCCAGCTGCAACAACGGGCATCCCATTTCGCCCCCGGCTCGGGGTATGCGTGCAGCGGTACGCGCCCACCACCGAAGCACCGCCTCTGACACCGGTGCAAGAAGAACGCCAAAGCTGTTCCACCGACACCAGCGGTACCGGTGGAGGTGGCGGCGGCAGCACCTTTGCTCCTACATCGGAAGCAGCGCATGCAGGGGCACAACAACAGCCAATCACGATCAGCCTTGGCCAGAAGCGGTCCCGCTCTGGGGACATCTTCAGCATTCCACTGCCGTCCATTGTAGATGGCAACGAGCACCCGGCGCTGAGGAGTGCGGGCAAGCGCCCTGCCGTGGCCGACCGCAGCGTCATGTTGCCGCAAGGTCCCTGGGAGTTGCCGCAGCCACCGCCGTACAACCCTCAGCGCGATAATTCGACATCATCCTCGTCGAATCCCACCGTTACCCCCATCACCACACCCGCGAAGGACATGCAAGCCGCCGCCGCCATTGCCCCCGGTGGCGTGGGCGTCGGCGTGGACGAGGAGCTCGCGCCGAAGGCTGGCGTCCCTACTGCCAGCGCCGTGATGAGGAGAGACTCCGCAGTTGGGTCTAGAGGAAATGGTCCAGCTTCTGCTCCGAAACCAAGCCCGGAGAATGAGCAGCGAGGCTCCGAGACCTTGCCACTTGACATGTCCAGGATTGGCTACGTGCGGCACCGCTTTTATCCACCAGCCTCCTTGGCGACAGCCTTCGGGAGCCCGTTGGCGCATCACGTGGTAACGGAAGCGACGCCACGCGGCATCAGCAACGGCTCCGCTGGAGCCGCATCATCCGTTGACTCATCAACCCTACGCCGCTCTGCCTCCGCTCCGCGCAATCCGCGCACGGCGGGGTCCTCTGCCGGCGTCGACACGGTTCCGGAGCTGGAAGGCCTCACCATCAACAGCGCGCGCTGCTGCGATCACAGCGTGGCGCTCGGGCTCCAGGAGGCTACGGGCGCGGTCGCCTTGTCGCGGCGGCTGCACCGGGTGGTGCTCCAACGACAGAGGTACCAGCACCTGTACGGATCTAGCAGCCAGCAAACAGCACAGACCTCGTATCAGGAGCCGCAGGAGGGCTCTGCGCTGGGTAATGTACCAGACCAGCAGCAGCTAATGCAGCAACACCAAAGCGGCGGCGGGCTAGGGCACACGGCAGGTAGCTTTCTAAGCTACCTGCAGCAGCAGCAGGACTTCATGCCGCTGCATGCGCAGCTCCGGAACCGCGCAGCGACCCACGGCGGCGCGGCGGGCGGCGGACTCGAGCAGCTCGTGAGGTTTACGCTGAGGAATAGTCAAGGCAGCGGCCCCGTTGTTGCGGCTACGGCGCTGGGTGCCCACGGCGGCGCCACACGGGCCACAGAGCAGCAAGAGGCCACGTGGCTGAGTGCAGCCGCTGCGACGCCAGGCAGCTTGACCGCGCGGGAGGGCCAGCAGCAGCCCCACCAAGAAGAGGAGCAACAACAACAACTTGGGTTCCAGCGATCGCTCGCACGATCGGATCCAGGCAAGTATTGCCATCCGTTCGCCGTACACAGTCAGCTAGGCGATTCGCTAGGCCATGTCCTCCGCTTCCTTAACCCCTCGGCTGCTTGGGAAAACAGGGGGAAAAAGGAAGTAGCCAAAGGCAGGCATCTATGGTAGTGAATTCAGTACTGGGGGCCGCTTATGGCATCTGGATTGGGTGTAGAGTATTGCTTCCGGGACGTTCCTGAGTTCGGGATGAATCCTTGTCCCTGCCTCCATGCCCTGCTGCTTTACCGAAGGGGCGACGCCAGGGCCTGAGGATGGCGTCTTGGCGGCGGCGGCGGCGGCAGCTGCGCAGTATGCTGGCGGCGGCGCGGCGGGCACCGGGGGTGGCGACCTCACCACCGCGAACCTCATTACACCGTTGCGAGAGATCAACGCCCTGGCGGGGGCGCTGAAGCCCATTGGGCCCCTCCAACGGGGCCTTATGCGGGGCCCTCCCGGACCGCCAGGTGGGTGCTTCTCCCATATCGCCCATCCCATGGCGCGTGCTTGTGTGTCTTTCCGTGTCCCGTCGCTGCTTCAATTTGTTATTAGAGACCCGTACAGCCGGCCCCGAAAAGCTGCCTATGATGCATGCGGGTTGACCCTCCTCATCCCTTTTGATGATTGCTCAAAACTCCACCTGCCGGATGTGTGCTGATGATGTACCGCAGGGGAGGCGCCAGCTGCGGGCAACTTCGTGGGGCCGCTAGCGTACAACCTGGCCGCCCGCCGCGCTCGACATATGCCTTCCACGATGGTTCAAAGCAGCTGGGGTGAGGCGCCCGCACCCGCACCTGCGGCCGCCTGGCAGGCTATCAACCCCGCAGATTGGGACGCCTCTGCCAGCGCCGCCAGCGCCGGCGGAGGCGGGGCCAACGATCTCTCCGACCAAACTGCCCACACGGCAGGAGGCGCTCTCTATCAGCAACCCCCACATCAGCACCAACAGCCGCCACCCTACCAAGCTTCCATGTCCTGCGACTGCCTCGACCCCCTGCACCCGGACATGCACCTCGCATGGCCGACGGGTGGCGGCGGGGAGGAGAGGTCAGCAGCAGACGCGAGGCCGTCGCAGGGGAGGGACACGCACGTCACATACACCGTGTCCGCTACAACGCCCCTCGGTGATGTGGTGGAGCCGGCGCCACGGCCGAGGAGAAAGACGGTCGCGTCGGACATAGCGCCGGTAACGAAGGCCAAGGATGCGGCGACCACGGTGGGGTCCCAATGGGCAAACAGGCGACGTGCTACCGTGGACGTGGTGGGGACTAGCGCAGTGGGGGCTAGCATTACCAGCAGCTCGGCAAGCGCTGGCGGGCAAGGGGATGTGGCGAGGGGTCTCGACACAGGGGAGCTGGGTATGCAGCCGTACGAGCCCAAGTAGGGATGATAACCAAAAACCGCGACGAGGCAAGTGGGGGGATAAGGAGTAACATATGTGCATCGCAGGGGGTGGGGGCAGGGCAGCGATAGGCGACAGGCACACGGCGCCGTGGCCTCTTCTTCAACGGGAATTGCGGGTTCGATGTGGATGCGGTGAGGAAGGAGCATATCATGCAGGGGCGGCGTGGGTGCATTGACTCACGCAGCATTGTGTTCACCTCTTCCTGAACTGTAAAGGATAGAAAACGTGCGAGCCGGAGCATTGCCTGCTTGTGAAAGTGTTTATTCACCCTACTTGCTCCCAAGTTGTAGGGTTGACTAGGTGAATGTCGTATTGGTGTGCACAACCAACGGCCTCAGCGGATCGCACCAGCATGCCATGCTGGGGTTCTGGGGCTCCGGACATAGCTGGGGACTCCGTGGTTGACTCCATAGTGGATGTGGTTCCGGCGCTGGCCACGCCGTGACTCTTGTGGCTTTACGGGCTAGAGCCAATGTTGACAGCACATGCAAACACTCGGCATTGCAGCTTCCCGTCTTACATATGGAGCAGTGCTACCGTGTGAGAAATGCATGCCTATGGAGCTGTTAGCGGTGCTGCAGATACTGATGAGATTTGCAGTGCACTCTGCACAATGGTGCGGATAGCGGAGGCACACAGTCAGGCGGTTCAGGTAATGGACACTGGGTGCTAAGGCTCCAACTCCGAAGGGAGGAGATAGGAATAGGTATGATACATTTATTTTGTCGGCGCAATATTGGTGTGGAGCGCGCTTGTGCATCACAGCAGAATTGTGTGCGATCCGGATCCGGAAACTGGGTGCACGGTACTCTTCTTGGCACCACCAGGGGCGGGGCGGGTGTCTTACCTGGGGAGTGGGTGTTTCGAGACTGCCCATGCGGCGTATCTACCAAGTACATACACGCCCCTACCACGTACCCCGCATGCGCCAGTGAAACTCCCAATTTACCCAAACGCCCAGTCCGTGGAGGGATGCCTTGAGATTCACCGCGCAGGTTGCGCCGGCAACTTATCCCAATGAAAATGTTCCCGGTTGTAAATTGAAACCATGAATAAACGGCAGCAGCTGTTCCATTCCGTGTCCCGCCCCACCGGGGTATATGAGATCACATCACCGCGTTAGCGATAGGGTAAGCTTCGCGGCCCCTATTCATGAGGCCAGGCAACCTGCCTCGCATTGCAAGCAGCTCCAACCCTGGAAAATCCTATGCAAATAAATCCTAATCCATTGAACAATCTAACTCCAACAAGACGGAAGCCCTTATGGACGCACAACGCCAATTTGGTTTTCCCTGTGCCTGTTTTGTGCATCAAGCCCGCACGGACGCGTGACAAGTGACAACATATGACAACCAACAAGGCATGGCTATTAACTCTGCTGGGTTCAGCAGGAGAAATTCTACAGGCTAAACACGGGCAGGGATTGCGGCCCGTGTCGATATCACCACGTTGGCGCTTCCGCCACTCTGCGATAGCGTCCTACAACCCTGCGACTCGCGCTCGTTGTAGCATCACATGACTTCTCGTCATTTGCGTGTGTCAGAAGTGCACCTCGTGACTTCTTTGACAAAGCACGTGCGTACGGGAGACGCACACACACAGACACACAAACACAAGAGTCTTGGCGGAAATCATAACTTTACCGTTGACGTGTGACATGAATGATGTGTGACATTGTGCCGGTGACACCGGAAACATTGTGCCGGTGACACCGGTGACATTGTGCCGGCGACACCGGTGACATTGTGCCGGTGACACCATTCAAATGTTACAATTGACGAGACCCCATGGGAAAGGGGCGCATCAAGTCTCATATGGCCGTCACAATACCCCTCCTCATGGACCAAAACCACTTATTGACAATAGCGTGCTCTGCAGGGTGGTTCCGGAGCCCCAACGCGTCACGAAGATTGTGAAGGCCGGCGGCTCCTAAAAGCCATCTGGCGTATGCTCCCACGCTGACCGGGGGGGCGCCAGCGTCCCTTCCATGCCTCTGCCCGCTGCCAGCTTTACGTTCCGTTTATCAGAGGGGTAACCTCTCAGTGAAATCCTCAAATGTCCTCAGTATTCGTCCCCCGCCCAGCACTGCCCAGCACGCTTGCATCCTCATCGCGAGCAGACAACGTCTGATGATAACTTAGACTTAACGCCGCTTTAAATAATGTTTGAATTGGATAGGTATATATAACGCCGACGCAGATTAATTTTATTCATCCAAATAATCGAAAAAGTTCAGTTAGTTACTAACAGTTCACATCATCGGCCTACCTGCCTACAAGTCACCCCGCTGCTGCACAGGACTCGGTAAACACAACATCATCCGACGCCCGATGCTCATAAGTCCTAACCCTTCGCAGCCGTGCCGGCGACACGACCTGCAAAGCCCTCTCCCCGACCATAAACCGACCGAGGTTACCTCCCAAGGCAATGCAAACAATACATCGAACAATACATCAGCCTGACGGTTCGCTGCCCCTACTGGGCAAGCTGTCATCATCACCATCATCATCGTTCGGTACGGCGTCACCAGCTTCATCGCTTGCGCGAGACCCGACACCCTCTCCGTGGGTAGCCCCAGGACGCTCTGTGGCCCTGCTGGGACCGCCGCCGCCGCCGCCGCCGTCACCGCTGCCTCCAACGCCGCCGTGACTCTGCCTGGAGCCATTCCTCCTTTCGCCTGCGGCTCTCCCTGTGCTATTTTCCGCCATCCATGTCAGTCGTAACAATAGCTCATGTTTCAGAGCTGAAATGGCGACCTGCAGCGCAGATGCCTCGTTGACGGTGCCAGCGTCACTAACAATGTCGGTGTTTTGGAAGGCATCCAAAATAAAGCCATCGCTAAGCTGCTCCTCTTGCTCATTGCGCTGCGATGCCAGTGACGCCGCCACCTCCGCAAGGGACGCAGCCAGACGGGCTTGAGACGACCGCGTCTCCGCCAGCAGCGTCTCTACCTGAGAGGCAGCCGTCGCCGCCGCCGCGGCGGCAGCGGCGGCCGCGGCGCCGCTGCCGCCCATCTCCGCAGCCAGCCGCTTCACATCCATCACCAGGGTTCTGAGCCGAACCTTGCCGTACTGCACCTCCGAGCCCCTACCACCCGGTTCGGCAAGCCGCGCCAGCGTGCTCATGGCTTCTTGGGGCAGCAGCGGCGGCGCCGCCGCCGCCACCGCCGCTTCGAGCTCTTGTGATATCTGCTCGCAGCGCCTGGCTGCCTGCTCCGCTACCTGCGATGTGGCACTCATCTCGAATTGCAGCTGCGCAATGCGGCTCTGCTGCCGCCGAGTGGCGTCCGCCGCCGTCGCTGCCTGCGCATCTGCTGCCGCCGCTGTCGCTAGGCACTTCTCCGCCATCGAATGCAAGTGCGTCAGCAGGTCCGCCAATAGCATCAGCGCGCTGTCCTCCTCGGCCTCGCCGGTGCCGCCGGCCCCGCCGCCGCCGGCAGCGGCTCCGAGGCCGCTGCTGCGGTTGTGCTGAGCCTCCGCTGCCGCGCCGCCGGAACCCTTCCTGCCGTACCGGACCGGCGCAAGCAGCGGCGACGGCACATGAACCAGCACTGCCGCCGCCGTTGCCGCGGCGGCACGCAAGGCGGACTCCGCTTGCGCCTCCTCCACTTGCGCCAGCCGACGACTCAGCTCTTTGAATCGGTCCTCCAGCTGCTGCAGCGTATCATCCCCAACCGAGCTGCCACCAACCGCCGTCCAGCCCTTGCCCTCATCATCGCCACGTCGTCGTCGTCCGCCATCCCCACGAGCCACCGCCGCCGCCGCCGCTGCTGCGGCATCGTCCTTCACCATGCCGCGCACAAAGTTGGAAGGAGGAGGAGGAGGAGGAGGAGGAGGGAGCGCCTCGTGTGGAATGTCGTCAGTGTCTGCGTGAGCCCCGGTAGTTAAGCTGGCTGAACTCGGCACTGGCGACGGGACAGAGCGGCTTGCCTCAGCGGACAGCGGTGCGAGTGTAGGGCTAGGGCTCAGTGCCGCCTCCCGTTGCTCGAAGCTGCTGCTGCTGCTACTGCTCAATATCCCTGGCTGCTGCTGCTGCTGCTGCTCTAGCGGCGACGGTGACGACGATAAAGGCGACGACTGCGCCGTTAATTGTTGCTGCGATTGCGGTTGGGGTTGCCGGATGTTCTGCTGCTGCAACGGCGACCGCGGCGGCGTCGGGTGCCAACCCGACGGATCCTCATCCGCGTCGGGTGCCGTACCCTTGCAGTACAGCACGCATTCGCGGCCGAGGACATTGTCCACCCAGCCGCTATGCGGGAAGTGGTATCTCGTGCCGCTGGCGGATGACGCCACCTGTACGGCCTCCAGGTGCCAACTGGGTGTCGTACCGCCAGAGGCCTGGTTTCGGAGGCGCAGACGCAACCTCTCAACTTCGCCCACATCAACGGCCGTGAAAACAAAGGTGCTGACCTGCGGTTGCGTGTCAGTGGGGGGGAGAGGAGGCGGAACCCACGTGCAATATCGCGAAAAACAACAACAACGACAACAACAACAACAACAACAACAACAAAAACAAAAACAAAAACAAAGCAAATGTAATATTCGTTAAAACGCGAACGCGAACTGCCTATGGCTGACCTCGCCGACCGCGGCAAAAACGGAGAACGCTCGAAAAATATGCTTGAGTTAATATAGGCCAGAATGGCAGAAAATGGGCAGGCGCGGACCTCCGCGCCAAAGGAACGTTCAAATGGACGGGCGACAGCCCCAGCTGCTCGCCAACAACCAAGCCGCGCCCAAGCGGAACGAAAGTTTGTGGACATCGACATAATAATAGACACGGTTCCAGAAGGAACACCATTTTATATGGAACAGGACCAGGTTACCATGGAAATCCATTGGCCGGCCGGTTCCGACCCCGCGGACATACAAGCCCAGCTACATGGACCAGTGGGCAAGGCCATTTTAAACAGATTACGGGCGATAATACCGCCCGTTGAGGCAGAGGGGCTACTCGAGCCGCGAATCAGCAAATGCCCGCAACGGGCACTCCCCAGCGGCGTGAAGGTGCAAGAAATCAGCATCTTGATCCGGAAAGGTGGTCTCGCAATGCTTACCACCTCGCCAGCAGTCCAGAGAGGACGGCTTCACCTGGGGCCAGTCCATCTCCTACCCAGCAGCCCCCCGGTGGAAGTGGAGCTGCCCATCACGAACCTGTACAAGGCGGAACGGCCCTACTGGGAGATCAAGGGGATCCCCACCTACCTGGATCCCAGAGTCATCCCTGGTTTCCTTGCCGTCTGCTACTCCACTCAGTGGTTCCGGTGGGATGAATCAGACATCCATGAGCTGAATCCCACTATGATGGCAGACACCTGGCGAGTCAAGGTGGCGCAGGACACCCCCGGTCTACCGGGTGAAAAGCACTTCGAACTCGGCAGGGCGGGGGAGGCAACCAGGCCCGGCATACTGAGGGCTTCCAGACTGAAACGGACCGATCAGGAGGGACCCTTCACTATGCCGTGCAAAGCACCACCAAGGAAGGAGCTGGCGCGCCAGACACAGCAGTTACAGCAAATGCGACGACAGGGCCGTGCTGCACAGCCTGTTGCTGCCCCGGGCCAACCAGGTCCCTCAAACGGGGGAGGGCCCTCATATGCAGCGGCCGTGATGCGGTCAAGGTGGGGCATGGAGACGGCCATGGGAGCAGGACCCCAGCTTGCACCCATGGTGAGGGGTCTCAACCCGGAGCTGCAGCCGTATATCGCACCCCCACCCGTGCCGCCTGCATCAGCCATCACCACCACCAATGTGGCCACCACCATCACCATGGCCGCAAACACCCCAGCCGCCATAGCAGCTACCAATCATGCAGCCAGCAACCCCGCCGTCCCTGCGCAGCCAGGACAGGCGGCCCCTGCAACTGCTGCAATGGTGGGACCCCAGCAGGCCCCGCCCCAGCTGCAGGCCCCGCCCCAGCTGCAGGCCCCGCCCCAGCTGCAGGCCCCGCCCCAGCTGCAGGCCCCGCCCCAGCTGCAGGCCCCGCCCCAGCTGCAAGCCCCGCCCCAGCTGCAAGCCCCGCCCCAGCTGCAGGCCCCGCCCCAGCTGCAGGCCCCGCCCCAGCTGCAGGCCCCGCCCCAGCTGCAGGCCCCGCCCCAGCTGCAGGCCCCGCCCCAGCTGCAAGCCCCGCCCCAGCTGCAAGCCCCGCCCCAGCTGCAGGCCCCGCCCCAGCTGCAGGCCCCGCCCCAGCTGCAGGCCCCGCCCCAGCTGCAGGCCCCGCCCCAGCTGCAGGCCCCGCCCCAGCTGCAGGCCCCGCCCCAGCTGCAAGCCCCGCCCCCACCACCAGGCCCCTGCCGCTGCAGCCCGCCACCAGTCAGGCCCCGCACCAGCCAGGCCCCGCCGCGGCGGCAGAGCTCTACAAGGGCTAGGGGCACAGGCCGGCCCCACGGTGATGGAAGAGGAAACCACAACCCACAGGGAGCGCGACACCACACTGGCGGCACCACGGGAGCAAGAGCCACCAGCAGCCATAGCCAATACAGTCCCCACCTTCCAGTTCACAGCAGGTAGGAAGGAGCCAGGTGGCAGGCAACGGGCAACCGGGGGCAAAGCTAGGCAACAGATGTGCCCTGAGACGAACCAGGCCCCTACACCCTCTGAGGCCCCAAAGAGGTAGCGGCAGCGGCTGGAACACCTTACTGCGGAAGAACGGGCAGAGCGAAACAAAGCCCAGACCCGCAAGGCCTTGGAGGCCCGAAAGAAAAATGTGGAGATACGGAGGGCACAGAGGGCAGCAGAGGAAGCCGGAGAGAAGTTAACTGCGCAGCTGCAAACGGGCAGCCAGGCCCAGCCCTCCGACGGCACACAGGTCCCAAGCCTGCAACTGCAACTGACAGCTGGAGACCCGTCCCCCAGCGAACCCCGCGCCCAGCGAGCAGCCGCCGTGCAATGCCAGCAACACCTGAGCACCCACAGCCCAGCATCAACACAGGGGGATGATGATGAGGAGGAATACACCCCTACCGCCATGGAGGCGGAACACTCCGACTAAATGCCAAGCAGGGGGACCAGGAGAAGTCAGCAGCAAAATGCTGTGCAAGGCCATCCACTCCGGATCGCCACACACAACATGCACGGACTGCTGGCGACACATGGAAACCGCCTGCAGGCAGCAGTTCGGCAGTGGGCAGAAATGCGCCTGGACGTGGTATGCTTGCAGGAGACACATCACACCAACATCCAGCACCAGTGCCTTTTTGAGCGGGACTTGCGCCAAGCCGCAATGCGGGTACATAGCCAAGGCTGGCGGGTGGCGGCACACTCGTGGTCTAGCTCGACACACACAGCGGGGGTACTCATCCTCGTCCGGCAGGGCCTTGCAGCAGCCCTGGAGCCGCCACCGAACACAACCCGTCAAGCATGCATGCAGGGCCGGTTCACAGAGTGTGTGCTCCGCTGGGGAGGCCACCGCCTGCACATCTGCAATGTCTACCTCCCCACGGGCTCCTCAACAGTGGCAGCAGATGCACGGCGCCTTTTGTTCAGCAAAGTCCTGGCTGCCACTTCAACGAAAGCTGCCGCTCCAGACAGCGATACAACTCTCATCTGGGCGGGCGACTTCAACTTTGTAGAGAACCCGGAACTGGATTCCTCAGCGGGCCCAGAGGGCCGACGGGGAGACGGACCGATAGCCGACATGAGGAGACAGGCGGGCCCCACCATGGTCGACACCCACCGCCACTTCCACCCCACGCGCCGAGACTTCACCCACCTATACCGCGCGCCCACCCCAGGGGGTTCCCGTATCGACCGCATATACATCAACCAGCCCAAGCTGACCTATGTCTGCCACACGTCCGTCACCTTCTACACACCGTCGGACCACAGGATTGCGACATTGCACCTACTGCCGTGCCGGAGTGAGGAGCGGGGCCCAGGGGTCCGCATAGTCCGCCTTGCCTTCACGGCACACGAGGACCTTTCGTCCAGCATGGACACGTGGATCCGCTGCCAATGCATGGAGGCACCATCTGCCGAAGACAACCCAGCTGGCCTGATCGCCTGGTGGCCAGGCTTCAAGCGCCGCCTTGCCATCCTGGCCCATCGACTCAACAAGGCAGCACAACAACGCCGACGACGGCCTGGCACCCGTGCCCGGGAAGCAATTGCTGCGGTCCAGCGGGCTCAGCAAGCAGTCGATGCGGCGCCCACAGCACCCCAGCCACTGCAGCAGCTAGCGGACGCACAAGCAGCACTGGCTAGGGCGCACCAGGAGGATGGCAGCATGGCAGCCAAGGAAGCACGGGCCCACTGGCTCCGGGCAGGTGAACGGACCGGCCCTGCCCTGACAGCTTTCCTTAAAGCCCAGGCGGCCGAACAGCAGCCTGCCCCAGTCGCACTCCAGGCGCACAGCGGCCGCCTAGTGACCAACCCAGCACAACTGCCGCAGGTCGTGGCAGACTACTGGGCTGAGATCAGCCGAGCTCCTGACTTCATCAGCCCCAGTGCCCGACAGGAGGTACTTGCCCAGCTGTCTGCGGCCAACATCAGCCTCCCTGCAAACGCAGATGAACAGCTTGGCTCCAAAACCATCACAGCAGCGGAGCTACGGGTCGCATTGGTCAAGAGCCAGCCCGGCAAGGCACCAGGATGGGACGGCATCCCAGCCGACCTATACCGCAAATTCTGGTCCACCATTGGCAACACCATGGCGGGCCTCTTCACCGCCATAGGCGCAACGGGGCAGGTGCCGACCGGGTTCCTAGAGGGCATTATCACGGTGCTCTACAAGAAGGGCGACCCCAAGCAACCCGGCAACTACCGCCCTATCACGCTACTATGCGCCGACTACCGCCTGCTCGCCAAGGTACTGGCCAACCGCCTGGGGCCGGCCCTGGGGCGCATCATCACCCCCGAGCAGTCGGCCTTCCTCCCCAAACGGCTCATCGGGGCCAGTGTGATGTTCCTGCGCCACCTATCCCACCTCCTCCGCAAGCAGAACCGCCGGGGCCTCCTGGCGTTCCTGGACTTCGCGAAGGCATATGACACGGTGGACCGAGACTTCTTGCTAGCTGCGATGGAGGCGATGGGGGCGGGCCCGCAGCTGTGCAGCTGGGTTCGGCTACTGCTCAGCAACACGCAGGCACGAGCCATGGTCAATGGCTTTAAATCAAGGCTGGTTGGGATGGAGGCAGGCGTGCGACAGGGGTGCCCCCTCGCGCCTCTGCTGTACCTCTTCATCGCCCAGGCCCTGCTCTGCTGGCTCCGGAGCCGAGATGTGGGGGTCAAACTACGGCCGAATGACCAGGACCGCGTCACAGCCTGCCAGTTCGCGGACGACACTGAAGTGGCGCTGGAGGGCGAGGAGTCAGTACCGTCGTTCCTAGAAGCCATGGAGACCTTCGCAAGGGCATCAGGCCAGCGCCTCAATGTGGAAAAGGTGGAGCTGTTGAGGGTGGGTGCTGAGAACCAGCAACAACAGCAGCAGCCACAACCGGCGGGTAGGCAGCAGCTGCAACAGTCACTACACCAACAGCCGCAGCAGGAGACAATTGGTGGACTCAAAGTGGTCATCACCGCCACAGCCCTGAACTTGCCGGTAGACAACCGGCCCACACCCCCGCAACCCGAATGGCCCAAGATGCTGGCAGGCGCCTACAAGCGGATGCAGCGGCTCGCCCGCTTCCCGCTGTCAGCCTGCCACCGCCACGTCCGCCTACGGCCTGCAGACGGTCACCTGGCACATGGAACATGGCGGACCCCCTCCAGACAGCACTCTGGACCACATCGAGCGGCTGACGGCCCGCCTGGTCGACCGACAACAGGGCCC